GGGGGGGGGGTTTCTGGGAAGCCAAAAATGCTATATTCCGTGTATAAGATGCACCTAGATTTTCAGCCTCTTTTTTGGTGGGAAAAGATGCGTCTTATACTCCCAAAAATACAGTATTTTGGGAGACTGCAAAATTCAAGAGTGAGTGGTGTGCTGGCCTACAGGTGGAGCTCTCGCCTCACAATCAGGAGGCTGTGGGTTTGATCCTAGGTAGAGGCAGGTATCTCTCTCTGGGCACAATGAGAATATATCTGCTGCACAAAACTCCACATTGGTGACAGGAAGGGCATCCAGCTAGTAAACACTCAGCTCAATTCAGTTGCTCAGAGTCCACCTGCAAGGGATTATGGGGCTGTTAAAAGAGGATGACTGCAAAATTCAAGAGTCTCAAGAAAGTTAACAAACAAAATTCTCCAATCAGACCAAAGAAAAACGTCTCTGAAAGAAGGGACGTATCGCTGGGACATTCCTTGGCGGGCAAAGCTTACAGGTGTGAATGCTCCACCCATTAACTCCACTGAATGCCTTGGCCCATTAATTCCCAAGAGAAGCTCCCCAGCGTCTCTTGGTGGGGGAGAGGCTCCTTCAGAGTTGGAAATGTGTGCTGGCAATTTAGTGCACCTATTTACTAGGGTCCAGAGAGAAGGCAGGTCCTCACCCATAACACACTACACAAAAATAAAAATGCCCCAAACATAGCAATTGTGCTTCATGGCCTTTGGGGAGATGTGCCAAAACCAGAGTTTCCTTGCAGCCTTTGGGGAAGGGCTGGGTTTGCTTCAATACTGGCATTAATTTTAGAAAGCTTGAGTGATGCGGTGGCCCAGAGGTGGAGCTCTCGCCTCACAATCAGGAGGCTGTCAGTTCGATCCTAGGTAGAGGCAGATATTTCTCTCTCTGGGCACGTTGTGAATATATCTTCTGAACAAAACTCGGTATTGGAGACAGGAAGGGTATCCGGCAACTTAGCGCTCTGCTAGCTCCATTCCGTTGCCAAGACTCCACCCCAATGCAAGGGATTATGGGGTCATTAAAAGAAGATGATGGTTAATTATATAAAGCTTCTCAGTCAAAGCAAAATTCAGGAGACTCGGGAGGCGAAGCAGAGCCGCCCACTGTCCCCCCAAGACTGGCCACAAACGACCCCGTCCACCTTGCAGGTCACTCCTACCTGAGGTCCCATGTCTCCCGATTCACCTTTGATTCCTCCACCACCTGGGGGTCCCTGTGTGAAAAGAAACGCTGTTAAGGAGGCACGTCAGGGAAAGGAACCTTGGGGGGGGGTCCGAAGGCCAAGGAAGGGGGAGGGGAACAGGGGCAAAGGGCCACTGAGATGGCAGACCAAGAAAGCGGCTCTATCAAAGGCTTGAGCACCAAGGAGCACCTTCCGTTACGCAAACCTTCAGCCAACAGAAAAGTCTCGCTTTCCGAAGGGTCCACGAGGGTCCGGCCGCATCCGGGCAGGAGAAGTGGGCAGCCACCAAGGGGTGAAGGCATGGTTCTAAGAACCCCAGAAACGCCCTGGGGAGGCATCCCGAGGCTCACCCACTCAACCACCATGCCAGTGTAAAAGAAAACCATCTCAAGGACGTGCTGCTGAATCTCCCCTTTTAAGTTCTCTTCTCGACAGGCATTAAGGAAATTAACTCAATAGGATTCAAGCTGCTAAATAACGACTATTGACGAGAAATGAGAGTCAACAGGAGGCTGGAGCGGAAGGCAGGATCGCTGCTTCAAGTATCCAAGGGGCTGAATAATTGCTTTCCAGGTGACAATTGTTGTTGCTCCAGCAGAGACAGGAGGAGAAGCAGGGAACTCAATGCCGATTAGGGGGTCTTTGCAGGGGAAGACACCCTGCCTGCAGAGGGGGCATGTCCTGGGCTGGGGGTCTTTAAACAGAGACTAGTAGACACCTGTCAGGTAATGCTGCATCCCTGCCTAGGAAGGGGTTGGGCCTTCCAACCTAACCTTCAATGGAATCTGCACTCAGTGTTTGATTTTTCCCAAGATTTTATTCCATTCTCCAACTCCTTTCCCACCCGAGTCCTTCACTAAGTTCGTAAGCTGTAGGAAGTCAGCGCCCAGCCCTCTCCTAGGAAAATGAGATATTTTAGGAAATATTAAAAAGGCAGAATATTTCCCCTAAAAGGGAGGCAGAAATTCATTCCCCCCCCACCTTTGTCAATGGGCCATTAAGGCCTGAGCCAGTGTATTCTACATAACAAAGAGCTACCTCCTTCAGGCAGAGCCCTAGTAGGAATTGCCCAAAGCCCTTTCATTACATCATCACCCAGCAAGAGTCAACCAAGCCTGGGACTCAGGGCAGCCTACAGAGTTGCCCCTGCATGGCCCATGGGAGTCTGACAACCAATCAGAATACAAGTTCAAATTCAAAAGCCCCAAGAGGGCATAAAATCCAGGAACTCTCAGCATCTCTGCCCCTTTTTTCTTTGCCCAAGATCTTCAAACCCTGTGATCCTGTCCACCATTAAACCATCTTTCCAAGAAGCCTCCATGTTTCCAGTGTCTTTCTCCCCACTTGGAACTGAACCCAGGAGGACATTTCTCCCAACAAAGCCATGGAAAGTTTGTCAGCAATGAAAACTGCAGCCCAGAGTAAGGGAAGACGNGGAGGGGAAAGAGAAGGGGAGGCGAGGGGAAGGGGAGAGTGTTTGCTAAAGTGGGGGGGGGAGAAGACTTGGAGAGACTTCCAACACCCCCTCCAGTCACTTGCAATAACCTTCTCTCTCCAGAGGCCGTTTTGTGCTCAGTTCCCCGTTTCAGGCATTTGCCCTCTTGACTCAGAACAGGATAAAGAAACCCAAAATGGTGCCACCTTTCTAGGCCAACTGAGCATCAAGAGTTGGGCAAAAGCTCCATGAGGTTGTGTTTAATTGCAGCGACATTTAAAGAGGGCGACTTCCCAAAGGATCACGTTGAAAATGGCAATTATTGGGAGGCCTTGGAGGACCCCGGGGTCGCCACTTGCAGGCAGCATCTGATTTGAGGCACCTCCCTGACTATTCCTGTTGGGTGGGACTTGCTTCCCACCCCAGATAGGGGCCAAGCCTCATGCACACACCCCAGTCCTCCCCACTGCCTTGCCTTGGCAGCCAAGGAGAGGCCAGAAGCTGCCTGCAAGAGGAAGGGGTTCAGGTTGTATTTTTAATGCGGTTCTTTATTTGAAAATCTGTAAAAAAAATCCCCGCTGCCTCTCAGTCCTCCTCTCTCCTAAAATATCGGTCTTCTGTTTGTAACTCTCAGGTGCTTCGCCAACCTCTATTTTTAAACTTTGGTCCTGTTATTTTTTTATTCCTGTAAGCAGAATCTCCGCCTACGTTCCTGCCCATGCCAGCCCTCCCTGCAGGAAGCTGCTCCCTCTGCTCTGACCGAGGATTGCCCGCCTCTCTGACACGCACAGACATGCTTCTCCCCGTGTGCAATTGCACAGTCTCCTGGTGCCAGCCCATGAGAAGGGGGAGGCATAGGAGAATGCGTAGGAAGCCAGCACCCGGCCCGCTCCTAGAAGGATGAAATGTTTTAAAATATTTAAAAAGGCGGAATATAATATTTTCCCTAAAAGAGAAATAAATAAAAAAATCTTAAGGGAGACAGAAACTCAGAGCCTCCGTTCCCTGCCCCCACAAGCAGACACTAAGCTGGGGCAGCTTTTAAAAATGCAGATTTGTTCATCCATCACTCCCAGCAACTAGGTTGAATAAAGGCAGATTGGCCCTCACCCAAGATCCAAACCAGGACAAAACCATTAAGCCACAATAGGAATTGCCCAATACCCTTTCAAGCTCCTTCATTGCATCATCTCGGAGCAGACCAAACTTCAACCAAACCTAGCTCAGACAACCTATAGAGCCAGCAATGACCCCTACGTAACCCCTATGTGGCCCTGTGGGAGTCTGACAACAGCTAATAGAATACATGTTCTTGCACAGGAACAGGAAGCTCAAGTGCCAAGCCCAAGAGAAGCTATTAAACTACTCTCAACATGTGGTCAGCTGCACCAGAATCCATATGGTTCTGCTTCAACATTATCCAATCCACCTCCAGACTCCATTTTGCCTCCAGCGCCTTCCCCCCACCCCTCCGGCTTGGAACTGAACCAGATGGCTATTTCTTCCAACAAATGGATGGCCTGGACGTTTCCGAAGGCAGTTTAAGCTGTCCTTGTAGGATCTATGAGGAGAAAGCTGATGGATGGGGACTCCTCCTGCATCTCGGAGCATCCTTGCACAACCTCGCCTGTTGGAATTAGTTCTCACCTCTCTGGCCATAAATTACGCTCCTGCCAGCTCTCTCCCTCCTCCCAGAAGCTCAAGCTCTGGAGAGCAAGAGACTCGGAGGAGACTCAAATGATTTGCAGTCCTCCTTCTCTTTAACAATTCCCTCCCCACATCTCTCTCCACGTTAAGTACCTACATAATCAGCCACTTAAACCTGCTAATATACAACTTCCAGGCAAATGTCTCTGCATTCAGATTTGGCGATGATATTGCTTGTCTCTTTTGATGAAAGCCGAGTGAGGCCATGGAAAGGAGGCAGTTGTGTAAATGGCTAATTGTCTGCCGCTCAGCGTGGAATCTCCCCCCCCCCCAAATGTGCCAGGTTTCCTGGGGAAAAACGCCTGGGATGGTGAAAGAAGAGCAGGGGCGAGAGGGTGGATGCTGTGGTTACCTTCGGTCCCGTTTGGCCTGGCATCCCCCGAGCACCATCGCTGCCAGCCCGTCCCTGAAATGAGGTCAGAAAAAGAGATTAAGCAGCAAAACTAGATCAAAGAGCCACTAAATTTCCCCTGGAGCTGAGGCCAAGTTATCAGACAATCCCTCCACTCTCCTGTTTCCCTTCTTCCCCCTTGTGATGCCTCCTCACAAGGCATCTGACGGGGTCTAAATCAGGATGGATCTTGGCTCTTCCATCTTCTGCTTCCAAGAGCTGGCCTGCCCTAAACCATGGTGTACACCCTCCCTGCTGGCCCCAGGACTGTAGTTTAATCAAGTACTGGTCCAAGAAATTCTGCAAAGGTTCAGTAGTAGACGGATCAGAGCTGGGAACCAAAGTCATGCGTGTGTGGGAATTATCCCCCCCCTCCCCCAGAAGAATGAAATATTTTGGGAAATATTTTAAAAGGGTAGAATATCGTATTTCCCTAAAGGAGAAATGGAGAAACATGTTTTTAGAGGCAGAAAGCAGCCCCCAGTCTTTTGTAATAGCCCACAGCAGATGCCAGCACTTAAGGAGATAAAGAGTTTATTGAAAGAGGAACCAAGAGTTGTCCAGGTCTTTTCTTTTACATCCTCTCAATTCCACAGTCCTTTTTACATCAGTTTCATTTTCACTTTCAGCCAAATTATTCTCTACCATTATTTTTCCTCTTTATGATTATTTTTTCTTAATACATAAACAATATCTTCCATTGCCCCTTCAAAATTACACCAATTTTTCCCTCCTTATTTTCTCCATTGGTATATTTTGCTATAAACAGGCATACGTCCTCTAATTCAATTTAAGCACAGAGAGTATTTCTTTCACATTTTTTCTACCATTAACAATGGACTAACATTTCTTTATTTCTTAATTAGTTACATCACAATAACATTCTTACTACTACTATTCTCTTCAGTCTACTAATGTAGTTCTTTTTCCCTTTCTTCCACTTTTAACCTTTTTCTCTTCGGCTCCCAAAAATTGAGAGGTTGTTGATATTTACTTAAAGAAGAAGCAAAGCCATTTGGGCAGAATTCTGGCAAAGCCCTTCAGAACTGAAGCGAAGGAGCTTTGATCAGAGCACAAGCAGACTCTGGATGAAGGGTTTGGTTTCGTTTGGGCTTCTCATTCTGCTTTGGGGCACCCGGCCAATGACTGGCATGGGTGGCCTCCCAGGGTCTTTTGGCCAAGACCAATGATTGGCATGGAACCTTTGAGCGTGCCAGGATTGCCCAGGCCTTGCCAAGCGATTCAGGGTTTACCTACCCGCCGTCCTGGTTTCCCTGATGGACCTGGAGGGCCTTGAACCCCTCGTGGACCCTGAAATAAATGGAACCAAAGGAGAATCAGAACCGGAGGTTTCCTGGTGCTTTTCTTTCGCACAGGAGGGCTTGGGGGAAGGGAGGGAGAGGGAGGGGAGGAGCCTCAGGAGCAGTAGCTCTCTTACGAGGTGCATTGACAGCATGCACCTGGGAGGGAGGGCTTGACATCGTGTTGATGTGTCTCCCCTAAATAATTACCATATTTNTATATATATATATATCCCAGATCCAGATAGAGAGGTAGGAGGTGAGAAGTCGGAGAATCTAGAATAACTTAACGATGACTTTATATTGCTACACGAAGAGCTTAAAATGTCACTATCGTGTTTTATTTTTATTTTTATTTTTTATTGGGAAAAAAAACCAACCCACTAATTAAAAAGTCACGTAGCTCCACGAGAGTTAATAAATCTTTGGGTAGGTAATGGGGCTGTCCACATTTTATAACCTTGCAGGGACAAATTGGTTCCATTGCTCGAATTCAATACCTTAAAAGACTTGTGATTATCTCCTCCTGTAATTAAAAACCACCCAGCCCTGTTACTACAACAGCCTGGAAGTCATAGGAACACAGATCAGGCTCTGCAGGGGAGTCGAGTGTTTAACTGCTTCTCAATTAAAAGAGGAAGCAAGAAGGAAGGAAGATAAAACACCTCAGCTTCCAAGGCAAAATCCAAGGCCTTCAGGTCAGAAGATGCAGGTGGGTCTTTAAACTGGGCACCTCCGATCAACATGTGTGCCCTTGGTAGGACCACCTGTATGTTGGGAGAGAAGGACCCCCACTGTCAACCCTGAAGCTGACCTGTCGGGAGCCACCTTGGAGCTTCAGTGTTGGCACACTGGAACTGAGGGATAGAAAGGGAGGATTAGAAATAGAGGGGTTTGTTTAGCCAAAACAAAATACTTTCTCTTGAGAACCAAGGACATTCTCACACCTGGACCGTGGAAGGAGGAGTGAGGTCACCAGGCAACCAGGCGGCATCTTGATTGGACCATGTGACTGAGCGTTTCAAATTATGGGGAAACTTTCTCATTTAAATAGGTGAAAACCGCGAGAACCTTTAGAGTCAGTTTTCACCAGATCTGTGTCAATATGATATTTCCAATAAAGCAAAGAGTTTCGCTTGATGTGGAACTATTACTTGGAACCCTGAGAACGATTCCCCTTTCGCCCAATGGCTGCAAGATGCATTAGCATAAGACAAGCAAGCTTTTGGGGCTAAGGGGGTGGGTGGGTGGACCACTGAAATTTAGAAACCTCTGTGGGCATCCAAAATGAGGAGGTTCCTGTGTATAAATGGCTGCCTTGTGAGGTCTCTGAGTAACAGACCTGGAAATATCTACAAATATCCAGATGCCCACTAGGTGTCAGCCAAGACATAGGAAAGCCAATCTCTCTACTGCCATCTGGTGAGGATTCAGGGTGTGCTGCAGCTCAAATCATTATTGTCTATGGCCGGTCACAAAACCCCTACTTAAGTAAAGCTTTCCCTGTCCAGCTGTGTTCAACTCTAGGGTGCTGTGCTCATCTCGGTTTCAATCAAACAATCAGAATAATGCTTGAAAGGGACCTTGGAGGTCTTCTAGTCTAACTCCCTGCTCTATACCATTTCAGACAAATAAGTGGCTGTCCAGCCTTTTCTTAAAAGCCTCCAATGATGAAGAACACACGACTTCTGACGGCAAGCCATTCCAGGCATTAATTGTTCCCACGTTCAGGAAATTTCTCCTTATTTCTAGGTTGCTGCTCTTCTTGGTTAGTTTCCATCCATTATTTCCTATCTTGCCTTCTGGTGCATTGGAAAATAAGTTGACTCCCTCCTCTTTGTGCTAACCTCTGAAATACTGGAAGGCTGCTATCATGTCACCCCTGGTCCTTCTTTTATCTAGACTGGTCATAATCAAAAATTAACCCAATTGGTTAGGTTTTTTTAATTGCCTTGCAGGAACCCAGCTTGGTTAGGCAAACCAGGTTAAACCTGACCTATGAATGCAGGCACCACCTTGGATCTTGTGCCTCCCTATCCATCCAGGAGAGCAAGCCAGCCTCTGGGGCCACCAGGGAGCAAAAGGCAGGATTCACCACTAAAATGGCTTCAGCTGGGCCATTTGCCTGACACACACACACACACACACACACAGCAGCCTCTCCCTTCCCTGCCCTGCCTGCAGCGGAGTGTCCCATGTGATGAAGTGGGCAATGACCATCCATGCTGGTGCAAGAAGGAACCGGCTCATCTTCAAAGCTGCCACGGGGCGTTTTGATGCTGGACCTCCAGAAAAAGAGCCAATCACTCTGAGCTGGAACTGTGGGGTTCCAAAGGGTTTTAGGGGGACCTGGGCAAGTGAGAACTGTTCACAGGTGGCCGAAATGACCTATGGTCTGGGATGCTGAGCCAGCCATGGGATGGACGCTGCCTCTGCCTTCCTGCATGGCAATGGGGAGGAAAACAGAGCACCATTCCTGAGTCAGAAGCGGGTGCTTTCCATCCCCCCCCCTCTCCCACTAAGCATCCATGGGGGGCAGTGGTGGCTCAGGGCTACATGCAGGCAGTCTTTGGCTTACAATTCAATTCAATTCAATTCAATTTATTAGATTTATAGGCCGCCCAATCCCGGAGGACTACAACTACAATTGAGCCCCAACATTTCCATTGCTAAGCGACACAGTTCAGTGAGTTTTGCCCCATTTTACAGACTTCCTTGCCATAGTTGTTAAGTGAATCTCTGCCCTTGTGAAGTGAGCAATGTGGCTGGATCCACTGGGCCACGCAGAGCGTGTGGGGCCCAGGGTACTCACCCTGGCCTGCTGCAGGATGGCTTGTGCTTGGGACTCCTGGGTGGAGATCAAGGGGCCTTTCGAGCCCCCGTCTCCACCCCCGCTGAACCGGAACTGCAAGGGAGGAAGAGCAGAGAGTCAAAGCTTGGCTGAGCCACCAGACACCCAACAAAACACAACCCTGTGCAAAAGAATCACAATGACTCCACCATCTTGCTGTAAGAGAAGGTTTCCTCCTCCGGCACTTCTCAAGGCCCCCAGACCCACACAAAACAAGCAGGGAGGGAGCCTCCCCCTCCAGACACTGGTCAGCTCTCGTGCAGCCCCCCCCACCTATGGCCAGGCACCCATAAAAGGGGTAAGAGAGAGGGTTGTGGCCTGCCAGTGGCCAGCAGAGTTGGTGGCCGACTCAGACAGTGAGGAGGTTGGGGAGGAACCTGGCCAGTCCTGGAGTCTGGGGAAGGCTCTAAGGAGGGCTCTGTGCCAGAGACAGAGAGAGGGACAGGGACGTCTGACAGTTATCAGCTGCCTTCGGAGTTGGAGGTCAGTGGGGCAGACGAACAGCTGGAGCCTGTTCCTGATGTGTGCATGTGCAGAGTTGCCAGGAGAAGGGAACAGCTAATAAAAGAGGAGCGAAAGGGGAGGGGAGTTTGCAGGAGACAATTAGTTCAATTCATTAGGGTGAAGATCAGTTCCTGACTTCTAGCCAAGTAATTGCTGCTACAGCGTGGAGTTTGGAAGATATCGGCCTGGCAGCTCTGAAAAAGGTCTGTAGCTGTGAAATCTCTGGAAAGACTTTGCTGGAGAGGAATTCCCTTTAACCTAAATAAAAGGGGTTTTATTGGGAGGAGAAGTCGGCTTCGTGCTTTTGGGAAGCCTCGGTCAGAACAGGGATGAAGAAACAGAGGACCTGGGAGGTTGATCCACAGAATTCCGCCACTGGGAGATTGTGGCCCCTGGATGCAAAAGCTGCAAAACGATTGGGCTGTGCCTCTGCCAATCACTTCGCGCAGGGCAACAGCCCCCTGGTTGTGAGGGCTGAGAAGGGGGCGTGGGAGAGTCCCAGCCACACTCATTCAAAAGGGCCGAGCTGCATTCTCCCAACTGGAGGTGCCTGCTTGGAAAGAGCAACCTTGGGTGACCTTCGTTGTCTTTCTCCTCCTCAGCCTCCCCCCGAAGGAGCCAAAGTCTTGACAGGAGCATTAGTCAGTTTAATCTCTCCGTGCCCAGAGCGTTTCATTTCCCGAGTTTTCTTCCCGTTATTTGCTGGCTTGTGGCTCTGCAAACTGCAACATCCCTTCAATTGTGAGCTTCTCCCTCTGGCACAAGGAGGACGTGGAGCCCTTTGGCTGCCCACGGCTGGCACCGACTGAAGCTTCCGGAGCATATCAGGGTTTGCCATCCCCTCATCCTGATCCCTATGTCCTGGATGGAGGTGCTGGTTGAATTTGGTGATCCCGCTGTCCCATGTCTCTGAATGTCGTGAAGCCCAAGAAAATATTCAGACATCTCAAAAAATGGACTGCCGTTATGGTAAACGCACATACAATTGCCTGTTAGGAGAAATACAGCCATACACCATATATTTCCAATCCTGGAAAGGACCTTGGAGGTCTTCTTGTCCAATCTCCTGCCCATGGAAGGAGACCTTATACCAGGGGTGTCCAAAGCTGGGAATTTTAGGACTTGTGGACTTCAACTGAAGTCCACAAGTCTTAAAGTTCCCAAGTTTGGACATTCCTGCCTTATATCATCCTGGACCAATGGTTGTCCAATCTCTTCTTCATGATCCCGAGCAATGGAGCATCCACAACTCTGGGAAGGAAGCTGTTCCATTGATTGATCCTTTTCCTTGTCAGAATATTTCTCCTCAGTCCCAGGTTGGATCTCCCTTTAATGAGTTTCCACCCATTGCTTCTTGTCCTGCCCTCTGCTGCTTTGGAGAATTAAGTCACACACACACACCTTCCCTGGGACAGTCCTTCAAGAATGGGAAGAAAGTGATCAGGTCTCCCTTAAGTCTTCTCATCCTTTCAAAATGTTTCAAAACACCTCTTTATGCGATGTTTTTGACCATTATTTTCAAATGCCTGTGGAAACAGAGCAGAGTCTACATCTAGATGGATGAGATACAGTCCTAGAAACGGCGTAGTCACGTCGGAAGACGGAGGTCTGAATTGAGAAGGCTGGGAGCTGATGCGGTTGCAACTTCCACTATGCCGGACGAATGCTGTTCTTAAAAACAATTTCACCTAAATGTCCAAGAGGAACCGACGGAGATCAAGAGGGGGCTGGAGAACAAGGAAGGCCCAGAATGAGGAGGATCAAAGGGGGACCCCACAGGGCAAGTGGCTCCCTGCTCTTACAGCATGGGGATGCTAACCAGGCCCCACTTACCTCTGATTCTGGACTTCTAATGCCAGAGCCACCTCCCCCCACCAAACCAGAATTGTGGCTGTAGTGACTTACACCATAGGGCTGTGCAGAGCTTTGGACTTGAGGTGGGGGGGGGGGGGGGTAGGTAGATTTTCCCTCTTGGATTCTGAAGTGCTGCCAAGGTACAGCTGGGACAAAGCCTTTCCCTGCACAGCCACCAAGGCAGGAATGCACCTCCTTCACGGTTGACCTTCTTCCCACTCCTTCCTCTGTAGCAATAGCAACAGCCCTTAGACTTATATACCACTTTAAAGTGCTTTTACAGTCCTCTCTAAGCGGTTTACAGAGTCAGCCTCTTTTCCCCAACAATCTGGGTCCTCATTTGACCCACCTCGGAAGGACGGAAGGCTGAGTCAACCTTAAACCTGGTGAGATTCGAACTGCCAAATTGTAGGCAGCCGTCAGCAGAAGGAGCCTGCAGTACTGCACTCTGACCACTGCACCACCACAGCTCTCAACGCGTCTGCAGTCGCTACTCAACAGAAGTAAGAAAGGATTTGTGGCTCAGCCATACTCACCGGCAGCATCAGCATTGTCCCGGGTGGGCCTGGCAGGCCATCAGCGCCTGGAAGTCCTGCACGTCCAGGTGGGCCCTGGCAAAGGAGAGCAAGAAAGGACATCATCGGACAAGGGAAGGTTGGCACAAGAAAACCCAGGCTGAGCTGAGATCGCATCTTGGCCACCCCGTCACTGCATGAATTCTAGGCAAGGAGTCAAAATCGGATTGATTTGGTTTGTGTGAAAACAGGAATTATGCTTGGTTGACATGGGCATGAATGAATCTTCGCACTGGATGCAAAAAGGGGTCGTTGGAGCAGAGAGTGCTGGGAAAATTACCCCCCAGGAGGACCTTCTTCAATCATTGCCTGCCAAGATGCCTTCACAAAGCAAAGGGCTGCCAAACCTTTGAACCCAAATATCTGCCAGGTTTGGGATCATTTAGGAGAGGTCATGCTGAGTTGTGGAAGAAGTGAGGAGGAAAGTACATGATCAAAAATGGGATTTCCTTAAAAACATGTTACCCCTCACGTCTTATATCAGATTAACAGAGTTGGAAGGGACCTTGGAGGTCATCTAGTTCGGCCCCCACCCAAGCAGGAGACCCTACACCATTTCTGACAGATGGCAGTCCATTCTCTTCTTGAAAGCCTCCAGTGATGAAGCCCTCACAGTTTCCATCCATTGTTCCTTGTCTGGCCTATAGGTGCCTTGAAGAATAGCTTGACCCCCTCCTCTCTGTGG